ATCACTGAATCTCTACGTTTACCATCGCAAAGATGTTCTCGATTATGCAGCCAATCAACGGGACAACGCGACAAGGTAAAACATGAACGCACGAGCAGGTTTGGTATCGTTTCAACTCGAGGTGTGCGAGAATTCATATTTTCTACTAGTGTACGGGCTTCAGCGTGTCGCTCTACGATCTACTAGTTTACATCAAGGAGCCGACGAATGCTCGATGGGCTCGACGTAAATGCTAGTCGTCGCCGCGGCTTGCTTGCGCTGCCGACGCACCACGATGACCATGCCAATGGCCAGCAACGCCGCCAACACAAAACCGACGATCGCGGCGGTGCGGTAGCCCGACGACACGCCCGCACTCGCATCGTCGGTTGCTGTCGTCGCTGACCCGTCGCTGACCTTGTCGGCTGGCGGCGCTGTCGACGAGGGCTTGTACTGCTTGGTGGGCGTGCCGTCGTAAATGTCGGACGTCGCCATGAGTGTTTGCGCCAACGACGACTTGATCTGGAAGCTCATGGGGGCAACGGCCGCGAGGCAGCTCGTGTCGAGCGCCGTCACATCACCGTCGACTGTCACAAACGAACCGACGAGCTGGGCCGCGCACGGAGCTCCGCCCTAGCGTACGTCAACCGTCAGCAAGTTTTTGTATGTGTAAAAAGCAAGTACCAGCTTCGTCACGGGCGTGTTGACGATGGTACCGTGGGCCGAGTAGTTGAACTCGACCAGGCGTTTGGCCGACCCGATAAAGCTGTCGTACTGGTTGCGAGCGCCTCTCGCAGTGGTCTGCGGGTCCAAGAGCCCGCTCAGAAGCAAGACGCTCGTGCCCTTGGGGATCGTGATCGGCACGTCATAGTAGGTATCGCGCGGGTACTGCCACTTGTAGCTGTTGCTCGGTGAACGCTCGTTGATGCAATTGGGGTCACTGCCGCCGCTGGCAATGCAGTAGGTGGTCACTAAGCTCGCAATGTTGCTGCCGATGAGTGTGTTCGTGAACGTTTGCTTGAGTGTGTCGTAGGATTCCGTGGGCGTCCGCCAGAGCTCCGACACCACAATGAGGTTGTACAGCATTGTCGACTCGAAACCGTCCGACTCGTCCTGCGTGTTGCCCCTAGACAGTAAAATATAAGATGCCCTGTCGCATAGCACAAATGGTACTTACATGTTTTGAACTTGAGTGGCAAAGTTGGCGATCGCAAGAATGTCGGCTTGATTGCAGCGGTTGAAACGGTAGACAAGCGCCTATGGTGGAGAATGAATATAACCGAATTGGATAGATAGATAGATAGATAGATAGATAGATAGATAGATAGATATATAGATA